TTTTATGTATGTTCACCGATTACTCGAAGACGCCTGAACCGATTTGGATTTTTTTTTGTTTCTAAGGGTTATATTTCCCAGGTGGTCACATATAAATTTTATCGAAATCGGTCGAGCGGTTTTTTTTAAAAATCAACAATAAATATGTTTTTATATAAATTGTTTAATGGAATATGTTATTAAAAAACTTTGTTCTAACAAATTACCTGCTTATTACGTCTACACTAAAAATGCAAAAATAAAATCTTTTTAACAGAAAATAAAACCGACTTCCAGCCACTAAAATGTAAAAAATAACTAAACGGAGGTTGTCATTTAGAATAGATACCTAATCAGATATTTTCGAAGTCGGTGCCAGCCTACAATATTTTAAGATATGAATATCTGATAGATAAATATGTGTGTATTTTACGTATTTGAAATACATTAGATTTGCTTTGCATCGGCGTGTATATATATATATATATATGATAGTTATTAGTTACTTACTGCTTTATTTCTTCTCTAAAAGTAAGATTTATTATTTTGGGCAGAAAATAGCTTTTATCTAATTCATAACACGTTAAAGTAGCACTTGTGTCGGATTACTTATTAATATATAGACAAAAGGTACTGAAGCATGCTTGGTGGAGTTAAGATGAGGGCGAAGCCTAGTAAATAATACACTATAAATACTCTTTATATATTTACTTAATAGACCGCTTTGATAAGTAGATTGAAGAATAGAAAAAAATATGGGAATGAAATTATTATTTTATAATTTTTGTCATTTCAATATATATTATTTTTTAAATTTACTAGCGATTCACGCTCGCTTCGCTCGGGTTCGTCTCTGGGTTGCTTTCCCATACAATTTTTCACACTCCATTTTCACCCCATCAACGGATGATTTCCGGGATAAAAACTATCCTTGTCTTTGCCAGGGCTTCACTCGATTGATTTTTCACCTAATGAATTTATAAAATATTAGCATTGCCCACGGCTCCACCCGCTCCGATGACCAAAAACCAAATTCTTAGGTTTTACATATTAGTATACTCTTATATTGCAGTTTTTTTCTGTGATGCGGTAACAGACAGACAGACAAGCAGACAGAGACAAAAATTCTGAAAACTATAGATTCGGTCTCTGTATCGATAATAATGTTTATTTTAATAAGCATTTCCAAAAAATATTTAATGTACGGATTCGGCTTAGTTATAATTTTATTATGTGTATAGACTTTCTTCTTACTTTGCTACTATTATGTCTACATTAAAAATGGAAAAATAAAAACTATAAAAAAACCAACTTCAAATAAAAGATTGTGATGTGATTAGTCAGTCAGTCGGTGCCAGCCGATACAAATTAAAGCACACCGACTTCGAAAATATTTGATTAGTTATCTATAGTAAATGAAAATGACCAATCAGTTATTTTTTTACTTTTGAGCGTTTTTTTAAAGTCGTTTTTTTATTCAGGAATAAAGTTCGAATTTTTTTTTGCGATATTTCTAACTACAAGCTAGATATACTCGTAGCAGTAGTCTATGTATGATTTAATTTAGAACAAAATGAGGAAACTTGATCACACGGTTTAATTGAAATTTCATTATAATTTTGGATGTGGCTTTGTTTACCCCTGCCCTATTTGTGTTTAAAATAGGGGATTACCCAGGTTCATACTGCTTCATCAATATTATGTATATGTTATCATTCATACCACTTATATACAAATCATTATACATAAATGGATATATCAATAGATATATGGCTTGATAAACAATCTTGTTATTGAGAGTAAATATTTTACTATTAAAAATGTTTGTTCAATTACACGTTTTTTTTTCTATTTATATAATAAGAACTATAAAAAATATATTGGGTACTATAATTCTCAACATTCTGAAATAATAATCTATATATATATAAAAGAAAGTCGTGTTAGTTATTATTTATAACTCAAGAACGGCTGAACCGATTTGGCCGGAAATTTGTAGGGAGGTAGCTTAGAACCAGGAGACGGACATAGGATACTTTTTATTCCGTTCGACCGCGTTCCCGTGTGACGTGACATAAAACATCAAAGAGAATATAAGTAACTATAAAACGTGTTATAACAAAAACACATCTGACATGGAATAACAAAACGCAAATATACATATACATAAAACAAAATCGTGTTAGTTACACCATTTATAACGCAAGAACGGCTGGAGCAACTTTTATGATATTTGATTTTTTGGGTTTCCCTTAGTCGGGAATAGGATAGTAAGTATTAAAACATCAACATAAAAAATTAATATGACTAACGCTGGCTAATAACAATTTATATCTACTTAAAACGTACCGACGAACCCGAGCGAAGCGAGGGTGAGCCGCTAGTATTAAAAAAAAAGAAATATGAAATATGAACCACCATTGGCGAAAAAATATTGTTACATACGCGCAAGAAGCGTTAAATAGACAATCGAATCCATTATCTTTATGATCGAAGCCGATCAAAAAATTTCATCCATATGTGCCATCAATAGAGGGAAATCCTCTTAAATTGTGAACCTAAAAACCGTGAACAAAGTTTTCCATTAAGCCCGGACACATCCTGAACGCTGCATTTCATCGACGCGTCTAAACAGATTTAGAGCAGTTTCAGTCATGCTTCAGTTGAATCGATTCAAGCTGTAATCCGCAATCAGGCCCGAACTGTCGGACACAGGACGAGATTGAAATTTCACAGTGATTTTGGGCACGGCTTTGTTTACTAACCATTTGGGCATCCAATAAAGGATTTTGATGATTTACATCGGTTTTATATTAACTGATACCTTAATTAAAACGTTACTTAGCTTTCGTTAAGCTAAATGGATATTAATTGAATAGTTATGATATGGTCCGATTATTTAGGACTGGGTACCTGATATAAACGTAATTATAAAGAGAGATAGAAAGATGTTATTATGTAAGTTAGTTCAAGTATATTATTTTTTAATAGTAACCCTCAAAAGCTCTATAAAGCTCGTTTCGTTTTACTCCATTTTTCCATAAATATATGGTAGCACGACGAACCTCATAAGGTAGCTCTAGTTCATTTAAAGAGTAATTAAATTTCTTTTAGTTTGGAGAAGTCTTAAGTTTGATCGTGAGATTTAGTCTCTTTCGTTTGGTCTACTCGGCTATTTTTTCACCAAAATTAGTAGAATCTTCGGAGTTAATACCAATTACTAAAACAAAAAATTGTTTCGTAAATTGCAAACAATAAAAATCTCGGAAAGTGTCGAATTAAACAAATACTAAGCAAATACATAGTATAGTGCTAGTATCAAACATATTGCGCTGTAATATCTAAAGCAATAACAAAAATAAAAGGGTTTCATATTAATACGATATTGGAAATATGTTAGATTTCATTTACTACATAAAATCATATTTGATCCTTGCTATTAATATTATTATCCATGCGTATAATGAAATAGTAACGGGTGAAGTATATATATTTTTAATAATTGATGTTTTTTGAAGCAATTTTATACCATTAAATTTGTCTGTTTGTTCTAAATAATGCATCACTAACTTCCTCGTTGGTTTAGTGGTTAGCATGAACTGGTGCTAGTTAGCTAGCGGAAAACCGGCTTTGGATTCCGAGTCGGCCCACATTATTAAGTTTTCATTTTATGAAACTCAGCAGCAGCCTGGAGGTGAAAAGTTGGCTGTGTCACATCTCCATGTCTCGAAGAATCCTCGTGCATCGCCCCTGTAGCTGATCTGTCACCAGAGGTGTTATTGTATTGTATTATCCTATTTGGGCTTTGAGAGTAAAAATAATAGAGAGAGCACTTGTACACTATTATATTTCCTACGTACATGGCTAGACTCAGTGATATTGACCGTCATGGCTGAATCAGGCGTTCATTATTTGAGAACGGCTGAATGGCTGGGTTTAATGGGATTTTTATTCCATTATGATTTTAATTCAAAATAAGTAAGAGTAAATGAGTGGAGTTAGAGTATGTTCTGAAATTATTTACAATGTAAATGATTTTTTTGTTTCTTCTAGCTAATCTCAGAACTACTTTACTGGTTTTTATGCGGTTTTCTCTATAATAAAAATAATAAAATGTTAATAATAAGCTATAATTTAAATATTTTACGAAAATAATCTACCGTATGTTCATATTTGTGAATAAAGTAAAAAAATCGTATCTTCTAAGTAAGCCACTACCTAGTATTAAATAAAAAGGTTTATGCCTGCCGTGAGAAGGAATTGGCATTGATGGATATGGGTTTTAGTTATTTCTAGTACCGAGAAGCTTATAGAATAATTTCCAATCTCTATTACATTTAAAGCTCGAACACCTATTTCCAAGTTTTATTTTTATGTGAGCCATTTTTTTTTTAAATAAAGTCGATGAGTGCTTAATTTCAGTATTATATTTAATAATTGGATCGATAATAATTATTACAAGAAGCAGATATTAATCTTACGCTATTAAATCTATACTAACATTATAAGGAGGTAAAGTTTGTGAGTTTGTAAAGTTGTAAGGGGTAACCTCTGGATCTACTGAACCGATTTAGATGAAATTTGGTAAGAAGATAGTTTGACACCCTGGGAAGAACCCTGGGTAGGATACTTTATATCCTGAAAATCATCTCTTAAGAGGGTGAAAATGGGGATGAAAGTTTATATGGGGAATCAACCTAGGGACGAACCCGAGCAAAGCGAGGGTGAGTCGCTAGTATTAGATAACTATATTGTTTCTTTGTGTTTCTTATGTGAGTTTTTTATAGATCTGTTATCTTACCGCAGGATAGAATTACTCATAATATTATGTAAGATACGATGCAATATTAGCTATATGAGGACCATTTTGTTGCAATAGGCGCAGTTTCTCTAAATAGTCTGTGATCTAAATATAAAGTCAGTACTGGTCTTAAATTATCTAGACTCAGATAATCTTAAGTACTGGCACTTCGATATTTTTTTTACTTTACTTTGACATGCGTCATTTCAAATGTAAAAATATGACAAAGAGTACAGAAGATTGTACAAAATCATCAGAAAAAAGACGTAGTAGTAGTCGTTCTACGAACGCACCCTTGCATTTTGCGGTACATAAGCCAGGATGTCACTTCGAGAGTTGCTGTGGAGTTTGCAATTTGTTCCCGGGAGTGCTGTTAATCGCCTTCGCACAGGTGTTGGTTGGGTCCGTCCTTTTGACGCTGATTCTATCACATGAAAAGCTGTATGATGACATGCACCAGACATCACAATCACAGTGTGAGTATTTTTTAATTGAATTTTAGCCGAATAGTCCATTTAAATGTAACTGAGTAGAGAAAATTTTAAGAAGAAACCTGTTGGTTTTTACAGATTTTTGTGTATACATTAATGATAATATTTAACAATCTTTAGTCAATGTTAGCGATATACTCTCGCTTCGTTCGGGTAGTACTGGCTTTTGTAGGTGAGTCCCCCAAAACTACCTATACGTAACATACAGGTGATATGTGTAAATGCAATACATGCATCCCAATGTTAAAAAAATCGTACAAGTACGAGTCTGTCCCAACCGAGGGCTCCGCAAAAGAATTTTTTTTGTAGTATAACAACAATTTTATAGTTTTCGGATTTTTGTCTTTACTTGTTTGTAAAAAAATAAAAATGTAAAATATAGCTCTTTCACCCTAAACGTTAAGTTAAATTTTTATTTTGCTTAAAAAGGTTATAGTAAAACTGTTTTTATTTAAGTTATGAGCATGGCCACTGGGACAGTGCTGAGTGGAGTCATCGGCGCTGGTGTTTTGTTGATCATCGTCGCACTCACTGAGAATTGTAGAGCTATGCTGGTATGGTAAATTAGTTATTGGAAGAGAGTAGGAAATTGTACCACCGTAAATGAAGAAGGAAAGATCTTGTCGATACTATTTCATGTTGCGTGATTAATTGTCGATTTTTTATTCTATTTTAGATCATTTCTAAATATAGTTGTAAAGTTCTTCATATACAAAATATTTTAAATTATTACAATTTTGTATTGAACGTCAGAGTCTACCACCAATTTGGATTTTTAACATAAATCTAAATTAAATAATTAATCAATCCATATTTATTTATTTATTTATTTATATTATTAGTAGTAATGATAGAATATTTGAAACCTATTAATACAAGTTTAAAATTTTATCACATATAAAACCCATATAAATTAGTTGGTGAAAAATATAAACATAAGTATGTTATAGAATACCTTAATTTTTCATTACGTTACTTATCGCAAAAATATTGAGATATATTTGTATCGAGTGGGATTCGAACCCTCATACTACTTAAACAAAGATCCTTATCAATTAGATGAATGACAAAAAATGCGAGCTTAAAAGGCTTTAGTAGGAACGAAGCTTTAGTTCAATGTATTTTACTGCATCGCAGTACATATATACCTGGTTAATAGTTAAATTAAATAGCGTCACACGAAACACTTCGACTGTTGATATTTCAAATTAATACTCGCGCGTAAGGACTCTGCGTCACAGTTGAAGCTGTTTGCATTTCAAAAGTGCTGTAACATATTCATTCCATTCGTTCGTTTTCAAGTTTTACTAACGATGCGCCCCTGTTTTATTAACACATCCCAATAACCAATTTATCTATGGTTTTTCTTATTAGATGTTTGATATTATGCTCTTTACATAATAACACAGCTTGTGGGTAGGTGCTGTCTGTAACAACTATATAATTACCTTTGAGACGTCTAAAACCTTAGTCTCTCCCGTGACCGTGACTGCTGTAAAGCATTCGAAATGTCGGGAACCAAAAATCACAGTAAAGCTGTGAAAAAATCCGAAAGGATGATTAAGAAAGTATTAATAACAAATTTTCATATCCGAAGGCCCCGGGTTCGAGTCTCAGAAAACGTAGATAATTGGGATTTTCAATCCAGATATTCTCAGTATAAATTTGGCGGTGTCACATCCCCGCGTCTCGGTACATATAATTCTTCGGTCTGCTCTTCATCTCTCCGAGAGTGCACATGAGTATGTGCATACGCTCTGCACTAATATCTCCTGCATACATGACTAGTTTTAGTCAAATTTGTCAAAGCCGATATCGGTCACGTGGATATTATAATCATTATTATACAAATAATGCCAAATTCCTATCACTATTAACTAAGACTATAGATGTACTAGCGACTCAACCTCGCTCCGCTCGGGTTCGTCCCTACTTACGTTTTAACGTTTAGTATTGATTTCTCAGAGATGAGATATTTTCATGTTTTCCCGCGATAAAAAGTATCCTATATGTTGACCCGGATAACCAGCTATCATCATACCAAATTTCATCAAAATCCCTCCAGTGGTTTTTCTGTGATACGGTAACAGACAGACATACAGACATAATTCTAAAAACTATAGATTCGGTCTCTGTATCGATAATTATGTTAATTTCAATAAGATTTTCCAAAAAATATTTAATGTACAGATTCGTCTTAGTTACAATTTTACTATATGCATAGATTATGTATTGGGATTTGTCGTATGAGAACAGCTAATTAATCTAAGCAGCAGCAGAAAAATAAAGCAAAAAAGCAGTTAATCAGTATTTATTCAAAAAATCTAACATTGTTTTATTGCTAACTAAAAAACTATTAACAGTTATTTTAAAGAAACTAATGAACTACCTGTTTCTATGTCTATAGGTTTATCTACTTGTGGCTATGTTCGTTTGGATAGCTATAATGTCTCTCGCTCTGACCAAAATTGGGAGAGCCTGTGCACGTTTCAAAGAAGGTTGGTAACGATTTATAGTATTCATTTAAAACATAAAATAATGCTTAGAGTATGAAAGTCATCACAAATTATTAGCTTAATTTCTACAATAATTAATGTGTTGATCAATATTTTAATAAGTCATGTGATATAAGCTATACAAATAAAGTATTATTAATTTGATTCTTTGCGTAACTTTTTCCTTTGCGTAACTTTTTTAAACGGACCTTTTTTTCCACCTAACATCTTCATACATGCAGTAACGATTCCAAAAACAAATATTATCTAAACAATCCAAGTTATTTTGTATTTCCAAAGTTTCTTTCAGCTTTTCTCAAGTCCAAGGATTTTTTTCTTAAGTACTGGTAGATTTTTTGAGATAATAAATGTACTTATTCCTGAAATTCTAATATTGAATTCCAATAAGAATTTTAGATAACCGTTTTCAATTGATAGTTGAACAATTCGTAATTTAAATAAGTGCGTTAAACATCGATTCATTTATATACAAAATAAAGTGAGAAAACTAAATATTTTAATACTACATGTATAAAAATAAAAACTAAAAGTCAGATTATGTTATATTGAAAAAGCACAAATTTTATTTTTTGATTGTATTCAAATGTGGTATGTTTTAGAGGTTCCAAAGATTAACGTCTTCTTAGGTTGGAGACATATTTAATAATTAGAATATAATAAGTAAATTTATAATGAAGCTTAGCTTAATGGGTGGTCGACCATATATGGATGATACATGAGAGATTTATGATACATTACTAAAGTATGGCTTACAGTACTTAATGCTATACTATCACTATACTAATGCTATACTATATTATACTATACTTAATGTATAAACATTTTACACTTCACCTCCGGGGGTGAAAGAAAAAAAAATATTTTAATATATAAATATATTTTTTATATTACATGTACTACCTAATAAATCGTTTTGTTCGATTCTTATGCACTATATCTATTTTCTTATCCTTAATTATTTTTACATTTGGTCCCATATCTTCTAATACAACAAATGGTCCATTGAACAGTTCGTCCAACTTACCGCCTGTTTCTGACTTTACTAAAATTAAGTCATCTTTATTATAACTAATAGGATTAATATACTTATCATATTTTATTTTACGACTACACTTACTTTCTAATAAATTATTTCGGGCATCCTTAAAAGCAACTTGCAACCTATATTTAAGTTCACTACTATAATTTTCTGGGTTATACACAGGTTCTATTGTATTATATAATCTATTGGGAATATTGCACTGCCTACCAAATACAAGTTCAAACGGTTGGTATTTTGTTTCTGTATGGACTGTGGTATTAAAACTAAAACACCAGTATGGTAGCCAATAAGACCAAGATTGTTTGTCTTTGTCGCAGTGAATTCGTAAGAATGAACCTAAATTTTTATGAGCATTCTCCAATGCTCCGATAGATTGATGATGGTATGCTGTTGAGGTAATATTATCTATATTTAATAGTTTACATACCTGGGTTATGGTGGAAGATGTGAACTCTGTTCCTCTGTCTGTTGCTATTACTTTAGGTATGCCGAATCTTAAAATAAAATTATTTACTAACGCTCTAGCTACGCTAATGGATTCCTTATTTTTTAGTGGATAAGCTTCTATAAACTTGCTTAACTCACATTGAACAGTTAAAATATATACATTATCATCATAATCTTTTGGTAGCGGGCCCACTATATCCATAAATATTTTTTCAAACGCGTATGACGCAGTTGTCGAGAGAGTCATGGGTTCTTTAACGTATTTACAATGTTTAGATTTCTGGCATTTAGAACATTTTCTAACAAATTCTCTTACATCAGCTTCGAGACCTGGCCAGTAAAATCGTCTTTTAATATTGTTTACCATCCTACGGACACCAGCATGGCCACTGGTTGGTAGTAAATGAAAATCATTTAATATGAATGATTTTTCTTCATCGTTATCAATCCTAGTTACACTTTTTAAAATGCAAATCCGTGGTCCGGACCACTTCTTAACCGACTTTATTTCATCATTTAAATCGTTAATAAATCTTTCATTATTTTTATCTTTTATTATGCATATTTCTTCAATATTTAACTTTTTACAGAAATTACTCAACATTGTCACAAATTCGACTCGCGAGAATTGCGCCTTAAAGTTGAGATTAATGTACATCATCTTTTTACTAGGACAATAAGAAAAACATTCATACTCATCACTTATTCTGTTTCCCTTTCGTAATTTATCTAATTCGTAACCTACTATCAATTTCATTTCTACTGAACCACACGGCTTTCTTAATAACTCTACAACTCTTGGTTGATCAGGCCTTTCGTCTCCAGAGTTATTAAGGAAGGGTGTATCCTCTTCCATGCTATTCTCATTTACCTTTACCTCTATTACCTTCGTTTGTTTTCTTGTTAACACAGCCATAACTTGCTCATTTATGCCTTTTAATTCATTAGATGTAATATATATTCTTGACAAAGCATCTGCTCCTACGTTTTCTTTACCTTTTACATATTCGATTCTAAAATCATACTCTTCTAACGTTAATCTAAATTTCATTAACCGACTAGAAGGATCTTTCATTCCGAATAAATATACTAGTGGTTTATGATCAGTTTTAATAGTAAAATGCCTACCATATAAGTACGGTCTAAAGTATTTTACACTCCAAACTATAGCTAAAAGCTCCTTTTCTATAGTTGGATAATTTAATTCTGATGCATTTAAAGGTCTGCTTGCGTACGCAATAGGTTTCAAATCTTTATTAGTCAAAACTGCACCAATAGCGATTCCTGATGCATCTGTTTGAAGAATAAACTCATTTTCTGGAGAAAAATCTGGGTATTGAAGTATAGGGGGAGAAATCATGGCTTCTTTAAGAATATTAAATGAATTTTGACATTCCGTACTCCAAAAAAATGTAGAATTTTTCCTAGTAAGTCTATTGAGAGGAATTGTTATATTAGCAAAAGAGGGTATAAATTTTCTATAATAATTACAAAATGCAACAAATCGTCGTACTTCATCAGCATTTTTAGGAATGGGATAATTTTGCAACACTGA